TAACTTTTCATTATCCTGTTTGTTGTGTGACTCACTTATATGTTGCCCTTGAAAGTGAGGTTTAGGTTGAAGATTAGTTGTTGCCGCTTGAAGGCTACCTTCTTTCCTACTGAGTTGTTGTGTTTACCATCCACTGCATTCCCTCGTGTAATTTTACACTTCACTGGTCCTTGCCATATGCAAGTATTTGATGGCCTTAATCAGCAAGGGGGAAAATGGTCTTGTGATTAAGGCACTGGACTAGCACTTGGGAAATTTCCTGTCTTTGCTGTAGACTTCCTGTGTGATCTTTGGCATGTCATTTAGGGCATGTGTACACTGCAGCTGGGAGTGAGGCTCCCCGCCCCGGCGGTAGACAGATTCCGCTAGCTCGCCTTGAGCTAGCATGCTTTGTGGCTCTGGTGGAAACTCAGGATAGCCAACCGAGATTGGACCCAGGAGGTTGGGTGGGCTTGAGAGCCTGAGCTGCCCCCTGATTCTCCGTGTCCAGATTCCTATTTCTAACATGCTACCTCGAGCCAAGGTAGCACAGGTCTGTCTACCCGGGCTGGGCGGCTCGCTCTCTCAGCTGTAGACACACCCAAGTTCAGTGCAGCAAGGTGATGAGCATGACCCTGCTCCAGTTTCAAATTAAGAATGTGAATAGTCCCAGTGGCTTCAGTCCGAGTGTTCATTTACTTAAACGTGGTCTTAAGTGCTTTGCTGGAGCAGGGTCGGAGTGCTCAGGATTGGGTAGGATGGAGTCCTTCATCTCTCTGTACCTCAGATGATGCTTCCTACATCCCACCCTTTGTCTGTTTTGTCTAGTTCGGTTGTAAACTTTGGGACTATCACTGTGTGTGCATGTACAGCACCTAGCACAATGGAGCTCTGATCTCATTTGGGGTCCCTAGGTGCTACTGTAATACAGATAATTGTAGAGGAAGAAGAAAAATAATACAGGCTGGTCCAAGTGTATGTGGGGGAGTGGGGGTGGGTGTTTGTTTTTCTTTTGCTAGGAGTTAAGGGATGAAAATGAGCAAAAGAAAATGAATCTGGACAGTGCGAACTGTTAGGTTAATCTCCCAACAGAAATGGTGAAAGCCATTTATTGAGAAATCTAAAATTGGACTTGAAGAACCACTGGAAAACTACTGCAAGGTACAGTGCTGCACTGGGTGGAGCCATAGAATGGAAGCAAAATGTAAGACTTTTCACGTCTAATTTCTATGGTGACATAGAGATTCGTATATTTCTTGTGTCCGCACGTTTTGCAGGTACTTAGATGGATAGTGAAAACTCTCAGCTAAAGGCTTTTAGACAGTAATTACCTTTTTTTGGTAGAAGTTTGATTCTCAGGCCTTTTCAGGCCTTGTATAGCAGTCAAGGTCAATGAAGTTTGCTGTGTGTGTATGAAAAGGAATTTCATAGGATTCAAGACCGTTCTGAAGCTCATCCGAAGAAGTGAGGTTTTTACTCACGAAAGCTCATGCCCAAATGAATCTGTTAGTCTTTAAGGTGCCACCAGACTCCTTGTTGTTTTTGTAGATACAGACTAACACGGCTACCCCCTGATACTTGAAGTAAATGAAAGACTCTCCTTGACTTCCCTGGGCTTTGGATCAGGATCTCTGAGGTCTTGTCTTCATTGGGAGGAAAAAAGTGTGTGTTTAGCTCAAGTTAGCTAACTCAAGGTAAAATCCTAGCGACACCAAGGCAGTTTGTAGTCTTCACGTGAGTTATCCAGTCCAGTTAGATTATGGTGGAGCCGTTAAACTCGACCTGAAACTCTCAGTGGTTTGAGCATTGGCCTGCTAAACTCAGGCCTGAGTTCAATCCTTGAGGGGGAAAAAATCTGTTGGATGATTTAATTGGGGATTGGTCCTGCTTTGAGCAGGGGGTTGGACTAGATGACCTCCTAAGATCCCTTCCAACCCTGATATTCTATGATTCATGTGAAGACTACAAACTGCCTTGTCTGCACTATACAGTGTTGTTGTAGCCATGTTTGTTCCAGGACATTAAACCGATATTAGAGAGATTACCTCACCCACCTTGTCTTTACTAACCTTTTATCTTCTGTAAACTAACTCAAGTTGAGAATACACCTTTTTTCTTTCAGTGAGGACATAGCATAAACAGTGTTGTTTTGTGGTTTAATACAATCAAGAGAGCTTCTCTATTCAGGACAGTGCTTACGCCTCATCAAAGTCAATGGGATTTAAGTACGTGCTTAATTTTAAGCATGCGCTTTCCTGACTCCAAGCTTTAAAGAGAAGGCCTGGGAAGGATTATGTCATGGGTTTGTTTTTTGTACTTTCATTGACACTATTAACAGAACAAATGATTATCGCACTTTTTATTTGACCCTGTTTGTTTAAGTTTTCATTGCTCATTCCCTTAAACATGTAAAAGGGAACCACCTTCCCATGCTGTTTAAGGGGGAAAAAAAATCCTTGTGCTGTCAGCTGATCTTTGCTGCCTTTAATAAAGAGGGATAAAAAAGCACCCCAGGACAAGGAGTTGTTTGGGTTTTCTTCCACAACTTGCTCTGCAGTAGCTCTCCATTTTCAGCACCTGGATATGTCCCTGTGTAACAATTTTGGTGTCTTTAAAATCTTTTATCCACCCTAAGGCTACGTCTACACTAGAGACCTTACTGCAGCACAGCTGTACCAATGCAGCTGCGCCGCTGTAAGAATGGGAAGAGACTGTCTAGGAAGGAGTACGGCAGAAAGGGATCTAGGGGTTTTAGTGGACCACAAGCTAAATATGAGTCAACTGTGTGATGCTGTGGCAAAAAAGCAAACGTGATTCTGAGAGGTATTAACAGGTGTGTTGTGAGCAAGACACGAGAAGACATTCTTCCGCTCTACTCTGCGCTGGTTAGGCCTCAGCTGGAGTATTGTGTCCAGTTCTGGGCACCGCATTTCTAGAAAGATTTGGAGAAATTGGAGAGGGTCCAGAGAAGAGCAACAAGAATGATTAAAGGTCTAGAGAACATGACCTA